AGTCTAGCACACCTTTGAAACATTTGTGTCTTCAATACATGGCACCTTGGTTGTCCAATTTGGCATATTTCAGCAGAAATGGAGCAGACAATCAAAATCAAAGCGAAAAAACAAGAGAAATAATCAAGAACTTGATCGAGCTAACGGCAAAAGAAAATGAAGTATGATCATCAATTCATATTAATTTATTTTAATTCTATTTGCAATGATTTCTAAACCAGTCATAATTTTTATTTAATTATATGTATAGTACTATTCAATCTAAAATATGGCAAACTTTAGGAAAAGTTGACGAAATTACAAATATAATAATTGATGAATTTGTTCAATATGCTGTTCACCACGGTATAAGCTCAATGCAATCCGAAACAGTTGCTAATACCATTGTAACATTATCTTCCATAAATATTCGTGGCAAAATAATAGCCAAATTACGACAGGTATTTATACTAAAATATCAGTAAATATGTGGGTTTTGCTATTTGATATCTGGCTTTAGAAGAGCGAATAGCCTTTTGTAGCAAGTAATTGACCACCAACGTCAAAATTAAATATGAGACTCAAAGCTACAAGCAAATTATATGCTGCAAGCCTCAAGTTTGGATCTTCACTACCTATATTAAGGAGCGCCATATTTAATAATGTACCGGGGACATCATTAGGTCGAATTACTCTCTCAGTAATATTTGTGGGTTTTGCTATTTGATATCTGGCTTTAGAAGAGCGAATAGCCTTGTGAAAGTGGCAGAAATGATTATTAGAGATGATAGCACATATATTAATAGTAAAAGAGAGATTAAAAGCGATAGATACTTGAATTATAGCTTCTTTTTTTGGACTTGTAAAAGCAAGTGTTGGTCTTCCGAGGTCTTGTTTAATAATAAATTCATCATCATGTCTGTGAGAAGAAAGGTCGACGTCTTCAATCTCTGAAATGTGATATACATCATTGAGATAACAGCCTAATCCATTAAATATTTCTTGTCTCCTTTGCTAAATAATTGAATGCAAGTTTATGAGTGACAACATTTAAGCAAGATAAATAATAATAATAATAATAAAACATCTTTACCGTTATTATTTGAATTGTTTCATTACTGATCTTCATAGTAACAGGAACTTGCATTCTGTAATGTGAAATCTTTATTACAGGACTGAATATTTGAGGCAGATCAGTATCAAGTTGCACTAGAAAATAAAGTATTTTGCTTAATTTAGTATATAATTCTTATACAAGTTAATATTATAATAATTTTGTATTAAAAAAAAAAAAAAGCTAACTTGTTCTGGGTGGCAATCTAACATCTTGAGGTGCTATATATTGAGGTACGTTTTCTTTTCTGTTCATCAAGTTTTTAAAAAATAAAACATACATTATAAGTCTTGATATTT